CAGGCTTGTTTTCTGGTTTTCTGAAATCTGCGTATAGATATTCTCTGAAGTTAATGGGATTAGGTCTTTCCAGATGCCAATGCTTGAGAATCTCAAGGTTTTACTATCTATTTTAAAGTTTTTTCTTTTTGTAAATTCTGCGTATATCTGTTTTATCTCTACAATTGCACTATTAACAGAAAAAAGGTTCGTTGATCAACTGGGGTGGCGGTAAGGCAAATTAGCTGCAGGTTGGCCACACTGCTGCCAATCTCGTGTTACTGCATCATTTAGCAGATATATGTTGAATGCATAAACCGGCACTCCAGATATCCCACGTTCCTGATGCTCCAGCTTTTCTCTGTTCGTCACATAAACAACGGTACCAGAAGTCATGATCATACCATTCAGATAAATACATGAGCACTAAGTTGAACTCCGCGAATTAGACCGACTATTTCAGGTAGCAAAGAGCTATTTAGCTGTGTCGAAGAAGAAAAAGAAAAACTACTGAAATCTACGTCTAGATGCTAGCTAACAGAGTCATGTCAAATTGACAAGCAGATGTAAAGACAGAGCACTAAGGCGGTTCAGAAAGTACTTCCGTTCCTCGAGAAAACAAGTGTCTACTACTGAGGAGCTAGCATTGGAGGAAGCATTTTAACTGGCAGTGCTTGCAGAACATCTCTGGCCCGTAGTGGAGCTCAGACAACATAGCGATATGTCACATATTTTCCAGCAGTCTCACTGGGCCTGGTGATCTTCACGACCTGTCCACGCCTCATGCCATAGTATCTTGCTATTGGATCCGTATATTGAATGCGAGGCAGCTGCGTCATCACAAGACAGCAAGATCATCAGAACCTAGAGTACCACTATAACAATAAAAGGTAATATCTGCATTTTCTTTACTAGTGCACATACAACATTTCGCCTTATATCATTTATTGGAAGAGCTCCTAGTGTTTTGTCGCAGAAACAAAACAAAGGACATTTGTGCCCAAACTTTTCAAAACGTGCAACCACTACCAAGTGAAAGGGGTAAGCAACACTTAACACTTGACCAATGCAGCTTCCTACTAAGTTAAGAGCATTACGCCTCTTACACTTAACAAACATCCCACAAGAATGAACAAGTACACCGAAACTGATATGAGTGTTGCAAATTCCAGTACACATATCCCTGATGTTATCCAACAGATAAAGTACTGCTGTAGAAAATACACAACAGACCAGTGTCAGTAGCACCCATAGACCACTAACCTATGGGAAACATAATGCTCATATATATAAGAACCCTTAACAACACATTAACTCTGAAAGCAACACATCTGAAGCAGACTATATAGCATCATTCTTTAAGTTCTAAAAAAGTTTCTGATGTGTCCATCCTACTAGCTTATCCCGCTACCACCTGTGTCTCACAATCTCAGCTTTTCACTACAACACCATATTATGTTCATCAAAGTAGCATCTCACCTAAGGTCTTACACATGATCAGTTTGTTGTTAGTCCTGATTCTACACTTGACAATATAGAATACACATGTTTCTAAATTACAACCAACCATAATTGTTGAATCAAAATGACTTAATAAGGGTAATAAACCAACATAACCTAAAAGTTGTCATACCGAAAGTAAATTAACAGCGTTATGCCCAACGCTAGCCAGGATATTCATCCACATACTTATTATCAGAAATGGTTTATCTACTACTCCCTCTGTCCGAAAATAAGTGAAGACATCAGGATATGTATGCCCTAGTAGTTCTGCAAGTAGGGTTATACTCCCTCCTTCATAAAAGTTGTATTAAAGTTGACAAGCTTATTTTGGGACGGAGGGAGCACATGATTGTGTCCTTACTATTGCGTTATTAAGGGATATGATCCTGGTACATGGGGCCTAACAAAACCCTCAGCCTCCTATGTGGCATTACTGACATGCAAAACTGCTGTTTGTCAGGACAAAAAACCAGGTTATGGGATAAAATAAAATGCTCCAGTTGGGATTAAGTGTGAAGGGAATTAGTTTGGTCAATTATAGCTTGAGGAAGTAGAGGGAACCTTTTCTTTCAAATTAATAATGTGTTTTTATCCCAACACAACCATCTGGAATATATGTATATGAAGGTATGCTGGAATACAGGGTCACAGATTATAGCTATAATTGTTTGTTCACAATGATTATTAACGGCTTAATGACTCAAACAGGAATACAGTTCACATAATGACATGCTTGCATCGATTAGAATAGCAGGTCAGTTACAGTGAGCGAAGGATTGGCAAATTTGTATGACCTGAGTTTCTTTCACGGTGTATTTCTCCAGCAGCGTCTTCTTCTGCTCCTGTGTGAGGAGCACGTGCTCGGGGACCAGATCGTGATTCTTAATGTTTATAAGAAGCTCCCCTTCCTGCAGGACAGGGGTACATTAAACGTCAGCCACTGGATCCCATGGCGAGAGACACTGGATATTAGTCATACGAGCACGAGGCATGGATGTAGAGCGCGACCTGGAAGACCTGGAGCCGGAATGTAGAGGTTTCGACCAGTTTGTTGCGGGCAAAGGCGGTCAGCGCCTGCTGCACGAGGAGTATGCCATTGCTGACCTTCTCCTGCACCATCTTCTGGACGTAGCTGGTGACCGCCTTCGTGCCGGGCTTGGGCTCGTTCGGGAAGAAGACGTAGATCTGGAGGGGCATTGCCAACACCGTCAATCAGCCGACGCAGTAGCTAGTACGGAAATCGTCGGGGACGCACCTGGTCGTCGGGGTTGTCCTTCTTGGCGCGGTTGATGACGAGGTCGTCGCGGCGCACGGGGTCGCCGTAGCGCCCGACGAACTCGCCCATGGTCAGGTCGACGTCGGCGTCCAGCACCAGGTACCCGCGGTCCCGCAGCATCTGCATCACCGTGCGCCGGACGCGGAACAGCCGGCTCGCCTCCCCCTCTGCCGCCGCCATCTCTTCGCCGATCGCCCGCGCGAATTTTTCGCCCGCCTTTGGAGGAGGAAGGGCCGGCGGCACCGGAGGTAGGGGTTTGGGAGGAAGGAGACACCGGCACCGAGTGGCGAGGATTGAGGAAGAAGGGTCGGTTGGAGCCGGACCCCGAGACCGAGCTACGGGTCGTTCGCTTCGGTTCGGTCCTCTGTTTTTTTTTTTTTGAGTCCATGTTCGGTCCTCTGTTTTTTTTATGAATCTCGCTGACTTTATTCAAAGAAATAGTCATAGGTACACATGTTGGGTCATGAGGTGTGCCCAACCAAACATGACGCCCTATACCCAGCTTACAAACATATTTAGCGAGATTGTGAGCCTCAAAATTAAAGTTTCTTCGCTCGTGAACAAAAGAGCAAGAGCTAAAATTATTACAATGACTCAATATTTCATGGACAATAGATGCATTTGGGCCTCCGGTGCCCCGGTTGATGTCGTTTACCACCTCCTTGGAATCCAAAGCCACATATATGTTTCTTACCGTCAGGTCGTAGGCGAGTGCTAGTGCATCCCGACAAGCATATATGTCTCCAGAAAAAGAGGATCCCGCATGTGGCGAAAAAGCACCACCGACGATCTCAAATAGACTCCTTCCTGGTCACGGCATAGAACGGCGACCGCTCCCCCGCTACCTCGCCTTGCCACTGCCCCATCTACGTTGATCTTCACGTTGCCACCCGGCGGATGAAGCAATGGCCGTTGCTGGGCTGGTGTAGTAGGACCTGGGTGATGCTCCTGTGCCGTGATAAGGCCGAGTTGCTCTGTTGCGTGCGCTGGGGGTTGATTTGGGCCGGACAGTGATCTGGGCTGGGCGGCCCTACAAACATATTATGAGTCTATGAGGAATACATACACAGAGGACGCCCTTTCCCTACCTTTGTTTCCTCCGCGGCTCCGACGAAACCCACGGCCACGGTGAACCCTAGATCTTAATTGGCCTTCCGCCGCGCGCCATGACTCGTAGTGGCGGCCGTGGTGGTGGTGGAGACGAACAGCCGCCGGACACCCCCATCCCTGACCTGCCCTGGGTGATGCTGGATTGCATCGCCCACTGCACCTTGCTGGGCCCCAGGGACGAGGCATTCGCCGACGACACGACATCGGAGGTCTCCGAGACCTGCACTGGTAGCCCCATCGTCGTCTCCCTCAGGGTCGCTCCGCCCCCGCCATGTTTCGTCTCTACCTCCACTTTCCAGATGGGCTCAGGCCAGAGATGAAGCTGTTGGAACCAGTGGCGGAGCTACATGCAATGCTGAGGGGGCCATTGCCCCCCAGCTGTAGCATATTTTCTGAAGGAAAAAAATTAAGAGCCTTAAAATAAAAAGATTGTTCTCATTTGCCCCCCCCCCAAGGTGCATATTTTTCCTTTGGCCCCCCCTTTGAATCTCCGCTAGCTCCGCCACTGGTTGGAACCGCCCTCCGTCCTCGCGGCTCATGGCCGCTCCATACTTTTCCAGACCTATGTCCCTCACATTGACCAGTGCTGCCCCAACTATTACCCCATTGACTACTTCGTCTACACGGCCCCGGCCGCCCAGGCAAGCGCCCGTCCCTAAGGCGGCTCCCGCCTTGCTTCAAGGGTGGGCAAGTGAACCCGGAAGTGGACAAGCTCTTCCACCCGTACCGCTACCAGCAACAGCGGATGGTGAACAGTGATAACGTCGGCCTGCTGTGTTACGGTGATGAGGAGTTCATAGTGGCCGAGCTCTATTCATGGGGCGAGCTCTCCCTGCTGCACTATGCGCCTGGGAAGGCCATGGAATGGGAATTTAGAGCATCTCCAACAGCCGCGCTTCGCGCCGCGCGCAAAAAACCAGTATGCTGCGCGTGCTTCGGCTGGTTTAGCGCGGTCGCGAGCGCTGGCTCCAACAGCCGCGCTATAATGCAGCACGCGCGCGCCGCTCCAGCAGCGCGCAAAAATACAGCGCGCGCGACTCGCCAGGCATTGCATTGTATATATGGCATTTTGGACACAAAATGAGTTTGAAACATTCAAAATGCAATGAACATGACGTATAAAATTTGACACAAACAAGTTGATGAATAAAAGTTCATGCCCACAAGTTCATCCAACCAAGTTTAGAATGCAAATCAAGTTCAAGACACAAATGAAAGACACATCAATCCTCTTCCTCGTCTTCGTCCTCATCATCTTCCGAAGATGATTCTTCCGCCTCCGAAGATGAATCTTCCTCCCTCTCCTCATCACGCACCGCATCATGTGAAGCTCCGACGGTGTTGGCAAGATCTTACGGCATCTTCATGGGAATGTGTGTGAGGAGGCACATTGAAGGACATTCCGCCCATGGCGGCCGGAGGTGCACCCATGCCTCCCATGAGAGAAGCAAAACTCATGCCTCCCATGGCGGCCATAGCATCGAGGGGTGCTCCAAAGCCACCCATGCCTCCCATGGCGGCCGGAGATGCACCCATCCCTCCCATAGCACCTAAACCGCTCATGGTACCTCCGAAGCCACCCATGCCACCCATGGTGCCAAGGCCACCGCCACCCATGCCGCCAAGGCCACCGCCACCCATGCCGCCGAGCTCCGCCGGTGGCGACGCCAACGCTCCCCGCGCTAGGGTTTCCAGCGGCGGGGGAGGGGTCGCGGCTGTACAACGGGGTGAGCGGGGTGCCGGTGCATGCGTCCATGGCGAAGTCCGGCGCCGGCGCGCGCGCGTGGGTCTTAGGAGGCGGAGAGGAGAGAGTGCGGTGCGAGCGCTCGAGTGTGCCGCGTGTGGAAGCGGGCGCCCCAAATACACCGCACGGGATAGCGTATCCGACACCGCGCCCAACTCGTTGTAGCGCGCGCGCGGTTTTTGCGCGCCCGCTGGAGCCACCCTCCGCGTTGCGCGCGCGCTAAAACGGCCTAATTTGCGGCATGGCGCTAGTTTAGCGCGGCTGTTGGAGATGCTCTTAGGACGTTGCAGATGCCTTATGGCAAGGACGTCCCTGACTTTCTGTATGGTTCCTGGAATACCGACTTCGTCATCCCCTTTGGCAATTCCTTGTGCTGGGTCGATTGCTACCTCGGCTTGCTGTTTGTCAGCGTGCATGGAGATCTTACAAAGCCGCCCCGCTATGTCTCAATGCCAGCAGATCTGGACACTCGTCGTCTCTATATTGACCCAGGGGTCCCTGATCCAGCACGCCGTGTCTGTGTCACTGACAGCGGCATGATTAAGCTCATTTGTATCAGCGATGCTGCAGGCCGCAGCGTGCATATACATTCTTCTGATTTCAAAATCAGGACATGGAATCTGTCTGACGGGATATGGAAAAAAGATGCCACCATGGAAGCCCATGAGCTCGAGAATGTTTTTTCCTCTGACAAGCGCCTGCCTGCTCCTGCCAAAGTGTCACACCGGCAGCACCAGGAGCTGCTATGGTGGACGTGTGAATCAGTGGGCCCCGCTGCCTGCTGGCACGGACCCACCTGTAAGGCGTTTGGCCAAGTGTGGGCACGACTATTTAGCCAGCTGGTGCCATAGTGTGTGTGCGTGTGTAGAAACAGATTCTGAACCCTCCTCACCTACCCTGTATCTGCCTCCTCCCTTGGAAGGAACCTTCTCTCCCAAGTCTCGACTCATCCCCCTTTCCCCTCTCGATCCGATCCAACGTAGATGAGTTCGTGACAGTTGGTAATCAGAGCTAGGTTGCTGCCCACCCAAATTTTCGTTGCCCTCACAACCTCTCGATCTGCCGTAACACCCACCACTGCGGGTGCGGTCTTGCTCCGGTGAGGTCCGCGCAAAATCCCCGGCAGGGTTGGCCGGATTTGGAGCGAGGGCAACGGCGCCGCCCAGCAAACCCTCCGCCCAGATGTCGTAATCCACGGGAGAGCTCAAAACCATGCTGCAGGCGCTCTTGAAGCGCTTCGACGAAACCACGCTGGCGAGCGACAAGCAGCGCTAGGCCCAGATCGCGTTCAACACGCAGGTCTCCGCGGATATGGCGAACATCCGCAAGCAGCTGGATCTTACACAAGAATACGTCGATGAAGTTCGGCAGGAGCAGCGCGAGCTTCCGCCTTCTTCGACCGCCGAGCGCCACCGATGAACATGACGGCGACACCCAAGCCTCTGCGGTGACATCGCTGGAGCACGTCCGCGGAGCCCTCCAGGCCCCGCCGTCCGCCTCGCCAACAACGGCCCACCGTTGCTCCCCACGCGGCACACTCTGCCGTACGCAAGCGTGGGGCAGATGAACGCGTTCATGGCAGGCCGCGACATTGGGCACCGTGAGGAGTACATGGTAAAGCCGTCGAAGCATGACTTTCTGCACTTCGACGGCGACGCACCCAACCTCTGGATCGACCGCTGCATCACCTACTTCGACCTCTACCGCATTCCTCCACACAGCTGGGTCACCACAGCGTCGCTCTACATCGACGGCCACGCCGCGCGCTGGTACCAGGCGTACCGACAGACGCATCGGTCGCCAACGTGGGAGGAGTTCACTGCAGCGATTATCACCGAATTTGCTCCGAACGAATTCGAGACAGAGATGCATAAACTGCTACAACTTCGTCAGACCGGCACCGTCGCGGAGTACATAACGGCGTTCGAGACCCACATGTATCATCTGCTCGCCCTTGACGCGTCGCTCAACCCCAAGCTGTTCATCACACAATTTTTGTTGGGCTTGCGTGACGATCTGCGGGCTGCGGTTTGCCTTCAGGAGCCGTCGAGCATCACTCGCGTGGCTGTGCTGGCCCGAATTGTCGAAGAAGAGGCTGGCACGCAACATGCTCGGTCGCGGATCATTCCGGCCGGACGACCACCACCGCCGCCGCTACAGCCTCCTCCTCGAGCAGTGGGGATGCCCCGACCAGGCGGCGCGGCCGCTCCCAACGACGACCTGGCACGCGAGCGACAACTGCGGGAACATCGCCGCGCCAACGGACTCTGTTTCAAATGTGGCCACCGCTACTCCCGCGAGCATCGATGCAAGCAGGCCGCGCAGC